CCCAACGACGTCTCCAAGTGGCCAAAGAGCTCCCCAAGGAAGCCCCGAAAAGGCCAACACACCTAAGCGAATCCAATGTGTGTTGCGTTCTCGCCTTGTTCCTTCCGATGACCATGCAAGGCCTCAAGATGGCTCCAAGATGGCCCAAGGAGGCCCCAAGATAGGCCCCAGGGAGCCCCAAGACGGCCCCAAGAGCGCCCAAGAGCGCTCCAAGAGCACCCTAAGAGCGCCCTGCGAGACGTTTGTAGGCACTCTAGAAGGGCAAGGCGACTTGAAGATCCCCCCTCTGGTTTAATCGGTGTCTCCCAAGATGGCTCCAAGAGCGCCCCTGAAGCTCCCAAGAGCGTCCCAAGAGGGCCTCAAGAGGCGCCCAGACGGCCCCGAGAGGCGCCCAAGGGGCCTCCAAGAGGCTCCCAAGAGACCTCCAAGAGGCCTCAAGAGGATCCCCGAGGTACCCAAGACGCGCAAGACGGCCCTGGGCCCACCCAAATGCCCCTCCAGACGCCCCAAGAGGTTTTCGAGAAGCTTCCAACAGACACCCTAGGAGACTTCGAGAGGCATTCAAGAGGCTTCTGGCTCCTCTGTTCGCCCTACTCCTCCTCCTCCCCCCCCTCCCCCTCCTCCACCTCCTCCTCCTCCTCCTCCTCATCATCATCAGCATCATCATCATCAGCATCATCATCATCAGCATCATCATCAGCAGCAGCATCAACATCAGCATCATCATCATCATCATCATCATCATCATCATCATCATCAGCATCATCATCATCATCATCATCATCAGAGGCAGCAGCAGCAGCATCAGCATCAGCATCATCATCATCATCATCAGCATCACCATCATCATCAGCATCAGCATCATCATCAGCATCAGCATCATCATCAGCAGCATCATCATCATCATCAGCAGCATCATCATCATCAGCATCATCATCAGCTCAGCATCATCATCATCATCAGCAGCAGCAGCAGCATCATAATCCACCTCATCTTCATCCTCCCCTTCCTCCTCCTCCTTCTCTTCCTCCTTCTCCTCCTGTTTCTCGTCCGCCTCCTCCTCCCCCTCCTCCTCTTCCCCATCATCAGCATAATTATCAGCATCAGCATCATCAGCATCATCATCAGCATCAGCATCACCAGCATCATCATCAGCAGCATCAGCATCATCATCATCACCAGCAGCAGCAGCATAATCATCATCATCAGCAGCAACACATGCGTCCTCGTCAGCATCATCGTCAGCACAATTATCATCATCAGCATCATCAGCATCAGTATCATCATCAGCATCATCATCGACATCATCAGCATCATCAGCATCAGCCGTCGCACATCATCATCATCATCATCATCATCATCATCATCATCAGCAGCAGCATCAGCATCATCATCATCATCATCATCATCATCGTCATCATCAGCATCATCACCATCAGCATCAACAGCATCATCACCATCAGCATCAGCATCATCAGTATCATCATTACGCTCATCTTCGTCATGAGCAGCAGCACCACCAGCATTAACATCAGCATCAGCAACAGCACCAGTGTCATCATCATCATCAGCAGCAGCATCAGCATCATCAGCACCAGCATCATCAGCAACGTCATCACCATCATCATCAACATCCTCAGCATAATCAACATCATCATCAACATCCATATCAACATCAGCACCATCATCATCCGCTTCCTTCTCCTCCTCCTCCTCCTCTTCCTCCACCGCCTCATCTTCGTCCTCCTCCTCCTCCTCCTCCTCCGCCTCCTTCTCATCCTCATCCTTCCTGCCTCCTGCACCTCCCCCACCTCCTCCCCCTCCTCCTCCTCCTCCTCCTCCTCCTCCTCCTCCTCCCCTCCTCCCACTCTCTCTCCTCCTCTCCTCCTCCTCCTCCTCCTCCTCCTCCTCATCATCCTCTCTGTCCTTGTCCACGTTGTCCTCCTGCTTCCTCATCCCCCCCCTCCTCCGCCTGCTCCTCCTCGCCCTCCTTCTTCTCCGCTGTCTCATATTATTCCTCCTCCTCCTCCTCCTCCTCCTCCTCCTCCTCCTCCTCCTCCTCCTCCTCCTCCTCCTCCTCCTCCTCCTCCTCCTCCTCCTCCTCCTCCTCCTCCTCCTCCTCCTCCTCCTCCTCCTCCCCTCCTCCTCCTCCTCCTCCTCCTCCTCCTCTCCTCCTCCTCCTCCTCCTCCTCTCCTCCTCCTCCTCCTCCTCCTCCTCCTCCTCCTCCTCCTCCTCCTCCTCCTCCTCCTCCTCCTCCTCCTCCTCCTCCTCCTCCTCCTCCTCCATCCTCCTCCTCCTCCTCCCTCCTCCTCCTCCTCCTCCTCCTCCTCCTCCTCTTTCTCCTCCTCCCACGATTATGATTCCTCCTCCTTCTTCCTCCGAGCATGATTCCTCCTCCTTCTTCCCCCTCTTGGGGTACGACGGTGTTCCTCTGTATGCTCCCCACGTTCAGTGATTAGGGCAATTTGTCTGGACATCGTCTCTAGAAGGGTTTCTTCTCCTTCCCCTCCTATATCCGCCTATACTTCCTCCTCCTCATCCTCCCTTCTCCCCCTCACCTCCTTCTCCTTCACCTCCTGATATTTCTCCCGCTGCTTTCCCTATTCTCCGCAAGTTCATCATCCTTCTCCCTCCTCCCTCCTCCCTCCTCCTCCTCCTCCTCCTCCTCCTCCTCCTCCTCCTCCTCCTCCTCCTCTTCCTCCTCCTCCTCCCTCGAACGACTGTCCGCCATTTTGATCCTACGTGTCCATGATCGTCTCAACTCGCCTGGGCGTCGGTTTTGCTTGGGCTGGTGAAGATAGACTTTTAGTCAGCGGCCGCGGGCGAGCGCGCCGGCGGCAAGTCCAGTCAAAACGGGGCACGCAGCGACGAATTAAACTGAAGGAACGGAGGGTGGCCACACCTACAGCGGCTAACCGGGGCGTCACGCAGCAGCTCAGCGGCGGACCGGCGAGTGGAGGGGGCAGCTGAAACTGAGTCGTACTGCCAGCGTGCAAGTATGCATAGCGTCGGAGGGACCAGGAAGTCGGAACAAACGACGACCCGGGTCAGAAGCCGAAATTCATGCATGGACGCAACCCCGGACAACTGCGTGAGTACCAGGGTGGCCCGAAGACCGTCGGTCAAGGTCGAATTGATGCCGAAACGGGGCGAGAGCGTTGGCAGGCTGCGCTTCACCCATTGTGAAGATAGACGAAGCGTCAAGAATTTCCCGGGGCTCCTCGCGTGTTCCCGCGTGTTTTGGCGCGATTGTTTCGGAGCCAAGGGGACCCCAAAGCGGGCCGAGAGGTCCCAAAACGGGTCTATGAGGGCCCCGAGTCGCCGAAAGATCGCTCCGAGAAGCACAAGATGGCCACCAGTCGGCCTAATACGCCCCGAAGACTCTCCGACAGGACTCCACAGGCCCTCCAAGAGGGCCCCGAGCAGCCAAAAGCATTTCCAAAACAGTGCTTGCACTGTTTGGGGATCTTACAGTTGCATGGGTCTGGCGAGGTTTCGCCACGTTGCAGCCTCGTGGCCGCCTCGCGCAATGTGTGGGTCTGGCGAGGTCTCGCCACGCTGCCGACCGTTGCCGCCTCGTGGCCGCCTGGTGCGCCCGGTGGGTCCGCCGAGGTTTCGCCACGTTGCCGCCCGTGGCCGCCTCGTGGCCGCCTCGCGCATTGGGTGGGTCCAGCGAGGTTTCGCCACGTTGGCCGTCTCGGGGCCGCCTCGGAGAGCCTCGTGCGCCGGGTGGGTCAGGTGAGGTTCTGCCACATTGCCGCGCGTGGCCGCCTCGTGGCCCCCTCGTGTGATGGGTGGGTCTGGCATGTTTTCGCCACGCTGACGACCGTCGCCCCCTCGAAGCCGCCTCGTGCGCTGGGCGGGTCCGGCGAGGTTCCTGGTGCGCTTGAAGGGTCTGGCGAGATGTCGCCACGTTGCCGCCAATGGCGGCCTCGTGGCCGCCGCGTGCGCTGGGTAGGTCTGGCGAGGTTTCGCCACGTTGATGCCTGTGACCGCCTCGTGGCCGCTCGTCCGCTGGGTGGGCCCAGCGCAGTTTCGCCACGTTGCCGCCTCGTGAGATGTGCGGGTGCCCCGAGGACTCACAATATTGCCGCCTCGATGCCGCGAGGAACAGGAGGGATGAGGAATTGGATTGGGTTGGTTGGGTTTGCTTAAGGTCATTGGCTGGTGTTCCAGGTTTGCGCGCTTGGGGGTATGACGAGACTGGGCCACGTTGCCGCCGCCTCGTGGGCGCTCCGTGCGCTGGCGGGGTATGCCGAGGCTGTGCCACCTTACCGCTCCTGCCGCCTCATGGGCGCCTCGTGGGCGCCTCGTTGGGAGGGCACGCCGAGGATGCGCCACGTTGCCGCCCGTACCGCCTCGTGGGCGCCACGTGCCCTGAGCTTGCACGACATAGCTTTCACCACATCCTTTACACCACATGGCTCACATCACATAGCTTGCACGGAACATATTACACAACATAGCTTACACCCCACTGCTGTCACTTCCGGTTCACGCCGCCTAGCTTACACAACATGGCTTACACCACATAGTTTACGCCGCATAGCTCGCCTCACAAGCTCACACCACTTAGCTCACACGTCATTTTTCACCACATAGCTTACGTCGCATAGCTTGCACCTACACGGTGCGATAACGCACTGCTTGGGGTCCACGCTGACAAAGTTCAGCGTCCCAAGAGGCCCAAAAAGCACCCGAAACGGCCCAATCGGGACACAAGAGGGCCCCGAGATGGAACTGAATGTTCGCGCTCTCCTCCCCAAGATAAACCCTCGAGACTGGCAGCAGGCGCCCCAAGGAGCCTCTCCAAGCCCCGGGACGCCCCAGAAAATTTACAGTCAGGGCCCAGGAAGCCCCCCAACAAAATCTGAGAGGCCCCAAGACACCCCCCAACACCGCCTCCTAGAGGCTTCCGATCGGCCTCCCACGAGATCCTCACGGGCATCTACTGGGCCTCTGACCTAGAACCTACGCACGGTAGCGGAATGGGCCGAAGACCATTATATGTTTGCAGAACCAGCATAAATAGTCGCAGCCGTGCAATAGTCGCGCGTGTCAACTGTGCAATTGATTTCGTGAGGTGCACGATGGCGCCCGTGACTCACGCAGAAATAGTAGCACGAAGGGTAACGCAATCGCGAGAGACAGCAAATTGGAAATACATGCTGGAACACGTGACAGCCTGAAGCTACAGCCAGCGTACCAAGCTGCAACCAACCACTAAGCATGCACGCTGTCATATCGAAATGGTGCTCGTGCCCCTGACCCTCGAGAGCGCTGGCCCAATCAAGATTTCCTCGTATCCATCGGTCGGAAGAAGTAGGTAGAACCATGAAGTAGGAAGGGTGTCCGCCCGCCCCCTAAGGAGGAGGGAAGAGGGGAAGCCACTCGAGCATTGCAGTAGGAGGGCGCTTAAAGTAGATTGGAGTCTGGAAGAAATCCAAAAATACCTACTTCAACGACCGATGGGCACTCGAGAGCGCTGGCCCAATGAAGAGTTCCTTGTGTATATCCCATAGCTTGGGAGTTGAGGACATTGCCCACCTCGGCCCCAAAGCCCAAGCCCTACTCCAGCGGCCACATTGCCAGTCTCCCATCAGCTGCTGCAGCCCTCTTCCATGGCGACCTCACATGCGCAACTCAGGCAGAGAAAGCTTTGGTAAGGCGAGATGCCATGAAAAAATCCGCAACCGACGCGCGAAAGACAAACACCTGTCGCCGAGAACGAGTATGGAAACGACAGCCACGGCGGCGCCCACGGCGGCGGCAGCGACGGCACTGGCGACGGCGTTGCCCGCGGCGGCAGTGACGAAGGTGCGAAGCCAAAGGGTCAAAAGCAAGCGATCATAGTCGCGAGGAGAAGCTCGTCATGACCGCGGGCAACGTGCTCGATGCAGCGAAGACGCCCAATGCAAAACGACCCCCAAAGATGGCCCACCACCAGCCTGCCACCATCACCACGCATCACAGCTACCAGGCACCCACGACACCCACGAGGCACACAGAAGGCCCTTGACACTCCTGGATCACGGTTCCAGCGGGCCCGACGAAAGGGCCGTAAACCCGATTCCGACAGGCTGACAAAACTACGACCTATACATATAATGCATTCGGCTCAACATGCTTCTTGGAGCATCTCCCTGAAAGCCCCCGGCCCCCAAAGGGCCCCCAAGGCTCCGAAAAGCCTGCCCCGCAGGGCCCAAAGAAAGCCTGCCGACGACAACCATAGCCAGCTGCGTACGAGGCAGCCCACAGAGGGGTCATGCCCGAACCAAGGCGACTCGAAGACATCATCACAATCCGGCATAAATGAATTCGAGCCCAGCTTCCATGGCTCGACGCGACCCCGCACGAGGGTTCCAGCATGTCCCCACGACGAGGAGGACCTGTAGGAGGCGAAAACAATTGAGAACGTGTTGTTTGCTGACAGCGTCCGCTCAACCGTCCTTCGTGGTCAAGCCCGGCGCCCAGAATGGCGCCACGCAGGCCCCAGGATCGGCCAATGACAATCAGAGACTGGCCCCACATTGCAACCCATAATGGCATCTGCCCAAGACGGCCCCAAGACCCTTCCACTACGGCATCTTGCGGCTGGACAAACACACATCCGAAGAGACCCCGTAGCCCACTACTGGAGATGGATTCTGCGCACTCGGAATATCAGGTTCGCTGGACATACGATCTCATCATGCATTCATCGGCATCCCCCACCGTGCCCTCGGGCACGAGATGGAGTGTCCGCAGGTCCCTTGCTCGATCCCCTGAGCCGCAGTCCTCACTCATGAGGAATCTTCTCAAGGGGCCCGGACCCAAAAATCTCAAATCTCATGGGGCTTGGCGCGCCTCCCCTGTGTTCCCACGAGTAGTGGCGCATGACTTCGTCGGGGCCAACAGTGGCCCAAGACAGGCCAAGAGACCTCAAAGAGCCCGTCCAGACAGTCCAACGGTACTCCGAATCGCTACACGATCGGTCCAAGAATGTTTTTGAATTCTCCACGTTTCGAGCTTCCGACACTCCAAGACGTCCCAAGAGGCCCTCAAGACCACCCCAAGACGGCCCCAGGCGCCCCCGAATGGGGCCCTGAGACGGCCCAAGAGGGCCCCAAGACGGCCCAAGGGGCGCCCAAGACGGCCCCAAAAAGCCCTAAAGCGGTCCTCGGATGGGCCCAAGAGTGGGAGCCCGAATCGGCAATTCGAGCCTTCCGTCCCAACATGCCTCAAGGAGGCCCCGATAGGCCCATAAGAGGCCCTAAAAAGGCCCCCAGAAGACTCCGAAAACGCGCCAAGGGCCCCAAAACGGCCCACACGAGGCGACAAAACTGCATCATTAGGCCCCCGAGAGGCCTCCCGCGACATCCCGACGAGCATCCTAGACGAATACGACCCACAACCAAGGCACGGTGGCGGGATGGACCGAAGGACACTCGATAATGCCATAAGCTTTGTTCGAGCATTGTGGTGGCGCTGACGAGAGAGAGATGAGGGATGGGGGCAGGAGAAAAAAAGGGGGGCACGTAGGAGGGGAGAGGACAAAGAGGGGAGGGCTGAGGAGAGAGAGGGAGAGAGGACAAAGAGGGGGACAAGGAGGGGAGAGGACACAAATGAGGAGGCAGGAGAAAAAAGGGGGTTGAGGACAGGATGGGAGAAGGAGGCGAGAGGGATAGGGAGAAGGGGACAGAAAGGACGGAGGGAACACACAAGAAGGAGGAAGGAACAGGGATCGGGGAGGAGGGAACGGTGAGGATGGAGAGGATGAGGAGGGATCGATCAGCGAAGAGCATCAAAATGTGGATGTTGGCTGATTGATGAGGGTGGGCGGCGAAGAACACAATGAAAGGGTGCTACGGAACAAGATTATGATTCCAGGCATTGCAATACAAAGGTAGAACATGTTCAAACAAACAAGAAGCATGGTCAAGCTGACCAAGACATCCGCCGTCCGTTCTAGAATTCCCGACCCGATTGCTGACACAGAGCTTGCGTGTAGCGTGTTGATGGCCCCGGAGCTCGAGGTGGGCTTCCGAACGCAATATCGGAATCTGCCGTTTTGGTTCACCCTCGCGCGTTGGGTTCTCATTTTGGATAGAACGCTGCGGTCACTAGTCATAGTTTTTCCTGGATCCCTTTTTCTCTATTGCATCCTACCAGCCTCATCCTTCGCCACCCGTGGGTGGCTGCGACCTGTGAGATTGTCGCCAAATTCGAGGCCTCCTGGGATGGGCAGCTCACAATGGATGCCGAACGCAAATTCAAAATAGACGTCGCAACCCTCGGAGGGGGCAGCGATCCACGAAACTGCTGCCACTTTCGAAGGTTGCTGGGAGGGCCAGCATACTGGGTAGCGAGCTCAGATTCAAACTAGACCTCGCCATATCAGCCAGGACTGTGCTCTGCGAAACTGTCGCCACTTTCAAAGAATGCTGGGAAGGCCACCAATGCGGGCACCGACCGCAAAGTCACATTAAACGTCGCCGCCCTCGGGAAGCTGCTCTCCGCGATTGCGTGGCCGGTGTTCGAGGGTTGCTGGAAGGGGTCTGCAAACTCTGTACCTAACGCAGTCCCACACTGGACTTCGCCATCCCTGGGGGGGGCGCTCTGCGACACGGTCGCTATCTTCGAGGACTGCTGGAAACGACAGCACACCCAACACCGAACGCCAACGCAACGTACACCTCGCCATCCTGGGGGGACTGCGAAATACAAAACATGAACCGCTTTCGAAGACTGCTGTCAAGGCCATCGCAAACGGCACAAGGCGCAGACCCAGACTAGAACACTCCCTGAGGGACTGTGATTTGCAAAACTGTCGCCACTCTCAAAATTTTAGACCAGACCTCGCCATCCCTGGGGGGCGGCGATCGGAGAGACTTTCGTCACGTAATGAGAAGCGAGCACGCACACAAATTAGACCTCGCCGCCCCTGGGGGGCTACGATGTGCAAAAGGATCGCCAGAAGTGCGAAACCGTCGCAGCTTTCGCGGGCTGCTTGGAGGGACAGCGTGGCGGGTATCGCCAGACCCAGACGAGACATCACCATCCCTGCGGAGGCTGCGAATTGCGCAGCTGCCGCCGCCATTTTCAAAGGTTGTTGGGGGGGGCAACGGGGTGACGCCTTATCGCAGATTCAGATTCGACCTCGCCATCCCTCGGGGGGCTGGGCTATGCGAAACCGCTGCCAATTCCAAAAGGTTGCTGAGGGGGGCGCGCGCAGTGACGCCAGACCCATGGCGGAGCCACCATCGACGCGGGATGCAAGAACCACGAAAACTGAACAGCCTGCGGTCGCATCTCCCACGCGACGCTCTCCAAAGCCACGAAAGCCGACCATGTCTAGATGATCCGGGGTCAGGGGCGGACCGCGGACCTCGCGGCGCCGCGCCTGCACGCCTGTACCCCCCCGGCGAAAAGTGTCCGGAGGAGGCCGAGCAGCTGGCAGTGCAGCTCGGCCTCTGGCAATTCCTGCACTGATGACAACTGACTGCTACCATGCCTCGAAATCTCGTCCCTCTCCATCTCTCGTCGTCACCCTTTTCCTGCTGCCGTTTCCTCTCACTGCTGCCTCGCTGACTGTTCAGCTCCCCGTCCGCCTTCTCCCTCGAGTCCTCGCCCAACCCCCTGCGAGCCAGGGACATGACGCATTACCTTCCAGCCCTTGTTCATCGATCTGCGTCTGACGAACCTTCAAACTGAAATTTGTCAAACTGTTCTGGCCACACTGACGTCACGCCAGGGTTGGGTACGTCGCCGGGGAAATTCAGGACACGCAGAGGGCTGCTACAGATGCCAGAATGGTACGAGAATCAGGGCGAAGGCGAAGCAGAGACCAGCCGTCCCAGTCTGCCTGCAGGTACACCACGAAGCGCACATGTCAACGCACATGTCCCATAAAAAGGTAGATTCTGAAACAACGAACGACCGTAAATTACAAAGGTTCAGTTCAATCAAAACGCAACGGGGTCTTAGCCCACAAGCAAACTAGGACGCTTCACCACACAACAGTTTGCGAAGGCGACCTGCAGAGCTCTCGTCGCCTCGAAGGCACATCGTCGCAGCTCGTCCTCGCTGGCCGGGGGGAGGCGAGGGTTTCCCCTCCTCCTCCGAATCCTCTTGACCATGTCACTGCGGGCTGGCCTTTCCTCACAGAATGCCTCCTCGTTCTCTGCCTCTCCCTCCTGTCCTCTGTCTCCTCCTCTTTCCTTCCCCCCTTCTCCCCTCTTCTTCCACACCTTTTCCTCCCCCACCACCTCCTCCTCCCCCTCCTCCTCCTTTCCTCGCCCCCGCGGCCAGAGGAATGCAAAAGCTATTGGCATGGGAGGAAGCAAAAGCCGGGGTGGCGAGGATACCCCACGCCCTACCATCCCCGTCCTCCTCCATGGCCGCCCCTCCTCCTCCCATACACCCCTGCACACGTAAACACCCACACTCACACACACACACACATGTACACACATGCGCGCACACACGCACACACGCACGCACGCACGCACGCACGCACGCACGCACGCACGCACGCACGCACACACACACACACACACAAACACACACATCGTGTTTGGCGTCGCGGCCACGCAAGCGGCGGCGCGACGTAGAACAGGTCGGCACACACAAACACACCCCCACCCACCAAACACACACGCACACACACACACACGCACGCACACACGCACACACGCACACACACACACACATACACACACACACACACACGCGCGCGCGCACGCAAACACGCGCGCGCACACACACACAGTTCTTGACGGTCGTGGCCTCGCGCGCAGAGACGAGGGGGAGAAAGTCCACACGCACACACACACACACATACACACAAACACACACACATTTTTCCTCTGCTGGCTATGTGGCACCACAGTCGCGACAGAACATGCACGGAAAGCAAATGTATGAATTACGACCTAGCTTGAGGTTAGGAAGGCCAATCTGTGCTGAAAACTGCGTTCGGGAGCCGGGGAGACCTCGACCTAAGTGTGGGCATGGTGTTTTTTGGCGTATGTCACGAGCGAGTCCCCAAATGCTAGCCTGGCCGCCGAAGATCACATCTCTTCACCGCTCTGACCAGGACATCCCAGACTATGGGGAAGGCCTCGGCGGAGACGGGACACGGCCACCCGGCCTGCAGCAATAGGAGGAAAACATGGCTTCTTTAAGTTGCGGGGGTGGTGTACACAAATAAACCTACAACTAGCACAAACCAGCACGCCTCTGGGCTCAGCAGCGCTCAGACAAGCTCAGCAGCGCTTCGCGAGGCCCCGACGCGCCGAACGGGCTTCTCTTAGCAGAGCGGGAAAGCCAATTACACCATTGGAAAGGCAGCGCAGCGCGAGCAAGCTTCGCAAGGAGCATGGCTTAGCAGGGCCAGAAATCGCTCCTGCAGGGCCTAGCAGTCCATTGCAGGCCTTGGCAGGGCTTGCCAAGACCTTGCAAGGCTTTGCGTGGCTTGGCACGGCTCTGCAAGGCTTAGCAGCGCTTGCCGGCGCTCCACGATATGTTGCAGGACTTACAGAACGTTGCAGCACTTCCCTCGGCCTCGCAAGGCGCTGAAAGTGCGCCGAGCCGGCGCCGGGCAGAGCCGAGCAGGGCTAAGCAGGCCTCAGCAAGGCCCAGCTGTCCTTATCAGAGCATAGCAAGGCTTCGCATCGCTTATCAGGAGCTAGCAAAGCTACAGCTGAGCAGAGATGGGCAGGGCTGAACGGAGCACTGCAGCGCACGGCCTGGCTTAGCAGGGTCTATCGGGGCCGACCAGGGCCCAGCAGCGCTTCGCCACGACTAGCAAGCCGCATAAAGACTTAGCCAGGCGCCCCAGTGCTTGGCAGGGCCCCGCTGGGCCTAGCAGCGGCTAGCATAGCGCGCTGCGGCCCAGCAGGGCTTAGCGAGGCACGGCGGCGCCTAGCAGTGCTTGCAGGGCTTGGAAGGGCTGGTGGCCAGAGTCAGCAGGGCCCCGCATGCCGTTGCAAGGCTTCCCCGCAGGGTGCCCGAGGAAGTAGCATTGCTTAGCTGTGCCCAGCAGACCTTAGCAGGACATCGCAGCGCTTCGCAGTGCTTGGCACGGCGTGGCAGAGCGCGCACTTGTGCCTAGCAAGACTTGGCCTCGCTGAACAGCGCCGCGCACCACTTGGCAGCGCCCAGCCAGGCTTCGCAGCGCCTCGCAGGGTTTGCAGGGCCAGGCAGGGCTGATCAGGGCGTCGCAGGCCTTGGCAAGGCCAGTTACGGGCTAGCAGCGCGCTTGGCAGCGCCGATGAACGCGATCCAGGGTTTTGCAATGCTTAGCAGGGCTCAGCAAGGCTTGGCAGTGCTTCGCAACGCGAAGAAGAACCTCGCAGGGCCTAGCAGCGCCCGACCCGACAGGGCTGCGCAGGGCTCAGCTGGGCTCACCAGCGCCAGCTAGCACATGGCAGCGCTTAACAATGGTTGTCAGAATCGCCCAGCAGGGCCTAGCAATGCCCAGCAGGAGGGCTTCGCAACGCTGAACAATTCTTAGCAGCGCCTAGCAGGGCTCAGCAGCCCCGCGCGGGGCCCAGCAGAATCGCGCATGGCTTCGCACGGATTAACCAGGACAAGTAGGGCTCGAGCGTGGCCAAGCAGCGCTTAGCAAACCTTAGCAGCTCTCAGCAGCGCTTAGCAATGTCTGGCAAAATTTTACAAGGCCGCTTTGCAACGCTCAGTGGCGCTTCGCCGTGCTCAGCAGCGCTGGGCAGGGCTTGCCAGGGCTTGGCAGCGCTTCGTATGGTTTAGCAAGGCTTACCAGGGTGTTGCAGGGCTGGGTGGTGCTTACCAACCCGTAGCAGCGCTTAGCTGTGCTGAGCGAGGCTCAGTAAGGCTCGGCAGGGTTTAGCAACGCCCAGCAGCGCTCAGCAAAGCTCTGCATGGCTCAGCAGCGCTCAGCAGGGCGAAGCAACGCTTCGCAGGGCTTGGCAGAGCCCAGCAGGTGCTAGCAGGCCGGCTGAGAATAGCATCGCTTAGCAAGGCTCTGCTGGGCTGAGAAGGGCCTCGCTGGGCATGGCAGGGCTTATCAACGAGCAGCAGTGATCGGGGGCACTGGGCGGCGCCGTGCAAAGCCTAGCAGGGCTTAGCAGGGCATAGCAAGTCTTAACAAGGCTTAGCAGGACTCAATTGTGCTCAGGGGCGCTGTGCAGGGCAGGGCTTAGCATGGCCAGGCAGGGCTTCGCTTTGCCGAACAATGCTTAGCGGGGCCTAGCCGCGTCCAGCTGCGCTTCGCAGCACCCAACAAGGTTCGGCAGCGCCTACCTTCTCCATGCAACAACCACACAACAGTACTCATGTTAACTTGCGAATCCATTCGGCCACCGCTTAAGGCTCATCCACTTTAATTGCCAATCCGACCACGAGAGAATCCCCCCACGCGGGCGCGGACCACGCGCGGGAAACTTTGCATTGTGTGTATGAAAACAGACACCCGAATTCGAAGTTAATTGGAAGCCCAATGAGCTACGTGGTTAAGCTCCAAGCTGGCATGCCGACTTTGGCAGCGCGGACAAAAAAAAAACTCCCCACGCGCGCTTGCGCTTGCGCGCGGGTGGTCCTGCATTTCCAATGATGCAAAGCATGCGGCAGTGCCAGTTTTACCTTGCAGATCCAAGCGGAAGGTTCACTTTAGTCTCCAAAGCAACATCGAGATCTTTTATGACAGAGCGGAACTCCCCGCGCGCATGCGAGCATCTCTGCATTGCCCACAACGCAAGACATACACAAAAGTATGTCAAACGGGAAATCCAATCGGTAACCGTTAAGGGTTCACTGTAAACTGCAGGCTAACTCTGCGGCAAATCCTTCGATGGACAGTGTGCACCAGAACCTAACTTCCCTTGGAAATCCAGTCGGCCATCGTTCACAGTTCAATTCGTCCCCAGTCCGCCGGACAATGCAGAGCTCCCCACGCTTCAGGCCTGGAACTCTGGAGTGGAATTACTATTTGTTGCAAGCCATACAACAGAGCAAATGTCAACTTGGAAATCCAATCTGTCACCGTCAGTGAGGGCGTTGGCTTCAATTCCCCGGCAAATCTGACGAGGTCTCTATTGCATCGGATACAGAACTCCCCGCACGCGCCGCCCGCGCGGAGACGCGCGCGCGCGCGGGGAGTTCTGTGCTGCCCTTAGAAGGAACCGTGCACCAGGACCCACGAGCAAAGGTGCCCGGCCCCGACCTTCGGGGCGGAGGGCGAGGGCGAGGGAAAGGCGAGGAAGGAGGAGGTACGAGGGCGAGGAGGGGGCGAGGAAGGGCCAGGGCGAGTGAAGGCAAGGGCGGAGGCGGCACGAGGGCGAGCAAGGGTGAGGAAGGGGGGCGGGGCACCCCGGCGGTTTTCCTCCCACAGCGCGTCCGCCGCCTGGCGGGAGCGGTCCCCCCACTCGCGCAACCGCGCCCCCGACGGGCCGTCGCGGGCGGCCAGCTGCCCGAGCGCGAGGGCGAGGTCGGCGGGGAGCGGGGACAGCGGAGGAGCACAGTACGGCACGAACCTGGCGGCGCAGTGTAGCGGGCGAAGAACGGTATATAGTAAACTGGTTCGCCGTCGGGGACGCTTCTCCCTGGGCGGCTGGAAAGTTCAGACCCTGACGTGCAACCGTAGGGCTATACTCTTAACAGCCGCCAGGGGGGCAGGCGCCACCAACGGCGGAACAGTGTATGTTATACCTTTTTCCCGCCCGCTAAAGAATAGGTGGGGCGACATCCTAAACCTACCCCCCAAAGCATCGATTCTCCTGAATCGATGGGAGGCGGGGGTACGGTTTGGATTTCGCCAAGTGCTCGGCGAATTCCGAACCCTACCCACGCCAACCATCGAGTTGCCTGGATCGTTGATCGGCGAGGGTAGGGTTTGGGTTTCGCCGCCGACACAAGGGGGTGGCGCCACGGGGATGGGCTTCTTAGAAGGCGGGGTGGCTTCTGAGACGGCAAAGGCCTTCGCGGAAGTCCGCCTGGATTCTAAGGAGTCTTCTGAGAAGTACCCGGGGCCGTCAAAGAAGATCCCTGCCTTCTCTAAAGAGCTCCCCCGCCATCTCAATGGGCAAGTTCCCTCGCGCTACCCCCAAGTTGGCGCCGCCAATGGGCACACACGTCACCAGAGTATCACTGCACGCACTTCTGCCACTCGAAGAGAATCCGTCGAGACAACGGGCGGCCCTCCCTCGCGTTCTTCGTCGTTCCTGGGCCTCCTGGGGGCCTCTCTAGAGGAAGAAACAACGGCACGAACATAAACTTTTACCGCTCCGCGCGGATTTCTTGGACATGCGCTGGACCCTCCTCCCTGGCGCGCGGAGCGCTCCAGTGGCGGCGCCAGAGGCGCCGCCGGGGGCGCCCAGCGCGGATCCAAGAAATCCGTTCGGAGCGCCACTAGTGTGTCACGTCTTCGCCGGCGTTGCTGCACGGCGTCCGAGCGCAAGAATTCGAAGGCTGCTCATGCCGTCTTGGGCTCCTCCGGGGACGGCCCCCGCGGCCGACCGGCCAGGGGCGCTATGCACGCGCACCGACTCTGGCCGGTGCCATCCTAAGCCCAGGATCGGCGCATACCCTCTGCACCTCGTAACGAGCGCGGAGGGAAAAAACAAAGAACAAAAAAAAACGAGCGCGGAAGGGGGGAGGGGGCCACGGGCAGCCTTGGGCGCGCGGTGATCGTCCGCGACGGGGGGTCGCATTGGGGTGTCGGCGAGGGTGCAGTCGACCCGTACAAGAATGACGCACGATCAAGGGTCGAGGGGGAAGGATGCAAGGGTAATCTTGGAGAGTTGCTCCATCCTTACTGTGAGGGTTGACTGTAGTTGCCTCGTGCGGCTTAGCCACACCGCTGGTCTGCAAGACACCAAGCGCTGTTCAAAACGCATTGGCGATATCTCCCAGTCACTCGCGGTATCTGGTTATCTGGCGTCACTCCCTCTCATTCTCACTCTCGCTCTCTCCCTCTCCATCCTTACTGTGTGGGTTGACTGTAGCGCCGGCCACCCCGCGCTCTTGTCACGAACCACGGTGTGCGCCCTCTCAGGGAGGCACACACACACCAAGCCTGGGCCCAGGATGGGGCTGGCCAAGATCGGAGCATGTGCGAAGCTCCGGTCGCCCGATTCGATCGGTCGACCCGTGATCGATCCTCGATCGGGGGTGACGACGACGACGACGACGTCGTCGACGGCGGCGGCGGCGGCGGCGGCGACGCCGAGGACGACAACGACGAGGCCCCCGACCTGGCCTGCTGCGGGGGGGAGGTCGCCTCCCGGCGCGCGCCCGCGGCGTCGTGAAACGCCAGCCGGCACCTGTGCAGGAAATTGCGGCCGCACCTCGCGCGGGCGCTGCGCGAGGAGGCGCGAGGAGGGGTGGGGAGTCTCGCTCACACCATCTCGAACCCGAACAGCGACTGGCTCTGAGGTGGTGGTCTGCGAGCGCCCTTGACGCTGCTTGGTTGTCCTGGGGCGATGGCCGATACCTTTGGCTTTCTCGCGGGACTGCTCAAGAGCAAACTGGCCGTAGGAGTAGCCAGACATGCTTGCGAAACAGACGGTGAAATTCTTTATTGAGCTGCATCTCCTGGGCTGCCTTCCTTCGACTCTCAGAGCTGAGGTGCACTCCCGCATCACAGTGCACTGCGGGCGCACTCCTGGCCCACGGGGCCACGCCGCGGCTAGGGCTGAGGAAAGGTACGGGCCAATCGAAGGCCATTGTGGAAATCAAAGTGTTTGTCCCACTTCTGCTCTTACACTGCACCACTTCCCCAACAAAACCAAGCATTCTACGCGTGCGCGCGCGCTGAAGCATGTCGGATGGGCGCCATGCGGCCACTGCAGAAGAAGAAGAAGAATAACCGAACATAGCTCATGAATAAGCACTGGCAGTGGGGCTGCTGTCCCTCCTCCTCCTCCACCTCATCCTCATCCTTTTCGTCGGCAGCACCGCCCTCGTCCCCGTCCTCGCACCAGCTCCGCGAGACGAGCTCGTTGCTGTACTTCCCGTCGCAGGCAGTGGCGTGGCCCACGTGCGCCATGTGAACTCGGATCTTCGGTGGATGGAACAACGACATAAACATGAAAACTCGGAGATCCGCGCGCCGAACGGATTGCTCAGATCGGCGCTGGACCCCCCTCCCTGGCGCGCGGAGCGCGCCAGGGCCGGCGCCTGAGGCGCCGCAGAGGGGGACCAGCGCCGATCCGAGAAATCCGCGCGGACCTCCGAGTTGTTATGTGTACGTCATCCCTCGTCCCCCTAGACCTGGTGGCGGCGGCCCGTGGCGATGCGGACTCCGACCAGGCTGAAGGCGTCCCCGCGCCGGGTCGCGTGGGCGAGCACCCTCAGCTCCGTCCGCGAGGGCCTGCCGCGCCTGCTCACCTGAGCGACGTGCAGAAGGATGGCCCATCGTCCACTACCACTACCATAGGCCATAGGAAGGAGAGGGAGAAAGAAGAGGAGGAGGAGGAGGAGGCGGACCTCCTCATCCTCCCTTCTCCCCCGCTCTACATGTGGTAGTGGTGGTGGAACATTTGCCCATCAACACAGCGACACGACGCGGTGGCTTACACGGACCGCCAGCGCGGCAAGTTGCATTGAAGACGAGGGCGCTCACGCACCCTCGCACGCGGGCGGGCAGCTTGCGCGCGAATGCCTGCGCCATCGACCCAGCTTCTGCGTCGCTCACCTGGCTCCGCGGCGCGCGGCCGCTCTCCGGGACGTCGCCCACCGGGCCGTGTGGGTCGGAGGGCGACCACGCCACCCGGGCGGCGACCTCCGTGCGGCCAAAGGGGAGCCAGCCTCGGCAGAGCACGACGTAGCACCGCTCCACCTGCGCAGTGTGCAGTTGCAGGGCGAGGTCGAGGTAGGCCTCTTGGGCGTCCCCAAACGATGCGATCCCCACCGACCTGGCCTCACGGTCCGCCACCGCACGGCTTTGGGGCCTTGGAGGCCCCAGCTGCCCGAGACATCCTCGGAGAACGACCGAAGTCCCCAGACCGTGCGGCTAGCCCAAATCCCCACTGGCTCACCACACGGTGTAGTCACCGCACCGTTTTTGGGGGCCCCCGGGCCTCGTGCGTCTTGGCGACGAGCACCAGGCCAGAGCTCGGGACGTCGAGGCGGTGCAGGATCCCCCGGTTGTGCTTCACGTCGCGCACGATGGGCCAGCGCCGGCAGGGGAGCAGCGCCCGGAGGAAGGCGGAGAGCGGCTCTGCACCGACGGCCATTGGTGCGCGCTGCTGGTCCACCTCCCAGCCTGGCGGCTTGTCCACCACCAGCCGGTCCGCCAGCTCGAGCAGAACGCTGGGCTGCCAGGGCGCGCCAGGCGAGCACCGAGGCCCTGGCGCACACGGCGCGCGGCCGCGAGCGTCGCCCGCTGGGGCCGCCGAGTCCAGCCGTCGCCCCAGCTGCAGGAGCAGCGGCCCCGCCGCTGCCCGCAGAGCTGCGCCAGCACGCGAGGGCCCGGCGAGCTCAAGGGCCCACACCGCCGTCAGCACGCTGACCCCAAGCCCCGCCAGGTCCCCGTGAGATGCCAGCGGCGCGCTCCGAGCCAACGCGCGCGGGACCTCCGCCGCGACGGCGCCCAGGAGCGGGCTGGACACCAGCCCGCCTGTCGCCGCAAGGGCCCAGGCGGTGTTCGCCAGGTCGCGCAGGCCGAAGCGCCCCAGGTCGAGCGCGCCTGGCTCCGACGCCGCCCGCCACAGCTCTCCAGAGTCGACAGGCAGCGAGGCGAGCGCCCAGGTCAGGTTGGCGATCCCCTGCGGGGAGAAATCCTCCAGCTTCGCCGCCGCCTCGCTGGCCACTGCGCGGCAGAGCTCCTCGGCCTCGTGCCCCGAGGAGGCGCTGCACCTCGCCAGAGCCCAGACGAGGTTGGACAGCCCCTGCGGCCCGAACTCGGCGATCCTTCCCAGTGCGGCATCGCAGACTTGCCGGCGCAGGCCCGCTCCAGCCGAGCGGGCCGCGGCGGCGGCCCACGCGAGGCTCGCGAGGTGGCGCGGGCCGAAGGCGCCGAGCCTGCGCCCCGCGGCGGCCGCCAGCAGGCCCGCCAGGGGAGAGCCTCCGTGCGCGAGAGCGGCGACGGCCCACGACAGGTTGGCAATGTCCCGCGCCGCGAGCTCGCGGAGGCCCCCCCCCCGGACCGCCTCGGCGTGCACGGCCGCGACGAAGGCAGTCCCCTCCGAGCGGAGCCTCGCGAGCGCCCAGGCAGCGTTCGCCAGGCCCTGGGGTGAGAATTCGGCGACCCTCGCCCCGCACGCCGCACAGAACGCCCTGGGCACCTCGGCGTCGTCCGTCCGCGCAGGCGCGTAAGCCCACAGCACGTTGGACAGCCCCTGGGACGAGAGCTCGTGAACCCGCGCGGCGGCCACGGAGCCCGCGCCGCTGCGCGCCGCCTCGCTCAGGACGCCGAGCCTGGCGGAGGCCCAGATGACGCTGGAGAGGTGGTGGGCCTGGTGGGGGAACCAAGAAACACCGATACCACTGTACTCCCTGGACCTCTCTGGGGGCGCGCTCCGACGAGAATTCCAAGGCGAATACAGCCGTGTCGACGAGGGCGTCCCAGGAGGCCCGAGAAGGCGAAAATAAAAAAATCAAGGCAGAGCAGGGGTAACGGTCCTCCTCCTCCTCCTCCTCCTCCTACTCCTCCTCCTCCTCCTCCTCCTCCTCCTCCTCCTCCTCCTCCTCCGCCTCCTCCTCCTCCTCCTCTGGCCTGGAACTCCCGCAGGTGCAGGCGCGCCTCCTGCGCGAGGGGCAGGACGAGCGGCGGGCTGCGCTCGCTGGCGGGCGCCAGGGCCCAGAGAGCGCCGGCGAGGCCCTGCAGCGCGGGAGCAGCCGTCGCGGCGGCCCGGGCCGGCAGAGGCGCCTGGGAGCGGCACGCGAACCAAAGCATGGTCGCGTCGTAAAAAAATCAAGACGGGAGGTTTTGAACCGTTTTCGGCCCCTGGGGGCCCTCGCTGGGCCTCGGGAAGATCAAAAAACCGACTCAGGACGAAAAACCGGTCCCGGGGAACGGGTCGGGACTTCCAGGGGCCCCGAATTGAGAAAATCAGGACGTCGCATGTCTGGGAACGCGGGGGGGGGCGGGGCCGCGAAGCAAGCCTCAGAGGAGGCCGCTCCAAGAGGGCGGGAGGGCCCCGAGGCGCGCCGTGCCTGCTGAGTAGGCCGTCCTGCCCCATGCGGCGGGCCGCCAGGCGTGGGCGGGGCCCATGGGGGGAGTCCGGGGGAGGCAGAGGGGAGAGCCCTCCTCCTCCTGGTCCTCATCCTTCTCCCCCTCCTCCCCCTCCTCCCCCTCCTCCTCCTCCTCCTCCACCTCCTCCTCTCCTCCTCCTGCTCCTCCTCCTCCTCCTCCTGCTCCTCCTCCACCTCCTCCTCCTCCTCCTCTGCCTCCTCCTCCTCCTCCTGCTCCTCCGCCTCCTTCTCCTCCTCCTGCACCTCCTCCTCCTCCTCCTCCTCCTCCTCCTCCTCCTCCTCCTCCTGCTCCTCCTCCTCTCCTCCTCCTCCTCCTCCTCCTCCTCCTCGTCCTCCTCCTACTCCTCCTCCTCCTCCTCCTCCTCCTCCTCCTCCTCCTCCTCCTCCTCCTCCTCCTCTGAGGGGAGAACACTCCCTCCCACCCATCCCTCTCGGCAAGACCACCGACGTCGGGACTTTCTCCATGCGTGGGCATTAAATAAAGAACTCCTGAGAGCGGATTGCCACCGCGGGTACGGAAGGCGGCAGTCTCTCGAATCGCAGTCTTCTTGAGCCAAATCGCGTCGGTCGAAATAACGCTACATATCGCAAAACCTCTGCAGCCCTTTTCGGGCGTGCTGTGCATGCTAACAGACCCGACTGGTCAACCAGCTCACTTACATGGCAGCACACGACCTGCCCTGGTAGAAAGCAACCGTGCATCATCATCATCATCATCATCATCATCATCATCATCATCATCATCATCATCATCATCATCATCATCATCATCATCATCATCCTCATCCTCATCATCATCATCATCATCATCACCATCATCATCAGCAGCAGCAGCATCATCATCATCAGCAGCAGCAGTAGCATCAGCATCATCATCATCAGCATCAGCATCATCATCATCATCATCATCATCATCATCATCATCATCAGCATCATCATCATCATCATCATCATCATCCTCATCCTCATCCTCATCCTCATCCTCATCATCATCATCATCATCATCATCAGCATCATCATCAACATCATCACCGTCATCACCATCATCAGCAGCATCATCATCATCATCAGCAGCAGCAGCATCATCATCAGCATCATCATCAGCAGCAGCAGATTCATCATCATTCTCATCATCAGCAGCATCATCAGTATCAGCATCATCATCCTCATCCTCATCCTAATCATCAGCCTCATCCTCATCCTCATCATCCTCAGCATCATCATCAGCATCATCGTCATCAGCATCATCATCAGCAGCATCATCATACTCATCATCATCATCCTCATCGTCATCCTCATCATCAGCATCATGCTCATCATCGTCAGCATCATTATCAGCATCATTATAATCATCAGCAGCAGCAGGATCATCATCAGCAGCAGCATCATCAGCATCGCCATCATCAGTATCAGCATCGCCATCACCATCATCATCAACATCATCAGCACCATCCATCATACTCATCAGCATCATCATCATCAGCCTCAGCATCGTTATCATCATCATCATCATCATCATCATCATCATCAGCAGCAGCAGCAGCATCATCATCATCATCATCAGCATCATCCTCATCAGCATCAGCAGCAACATCATTATCAGCTGTATAACAATCATCAGCATCAGCAGCAGCATCATCAGCATAATCCTCATTATCAGCATCATCAGTATCAGCATCATCATCACACTCACCATCATCAGCATCACTATCATCAGGCATCAAGCATCAAGCAGCATCATCACCAGCATCATCATCATCATCAGCATCATCATCAGCATCATCATCATCATCATCATCAGGCTAATCATCATAATCAGCATAATCATCATCAGCATCATCATGAGATCAGACACAGCGGCAATCAGCCTCGTGGGCTTATCAACGTCATGAAGGTTGTGTGCACGTTCTTTCACCAAACTCCCCACTCCTTGTCTCTGAGCAGTTGGCATCTCCCGTCAGCGTCATGAGGCACTAAGAGGCTCCAGTAAGCACCAGCAGGCTCCAGGAGGCTCCAGCAAGCACCAGGAGGCCCAAGGAGACTCCAGGATGCCCCCAAAAGGGCGATAGAAAGCTCCGAAATGATCCATGAGCCGTCACGATGTAACAGGAGGCTCCAGGAGGCACTAGGGGGAGGCCCATGGAGGCAGAAAGGCTCACATATGCTTATGCTCTAGCCGGCACAAGGACGATCCAGGAAGCTCCAGGATGCACCAGGTGGCTCCAGGACGCTCCAGGAAACACTTTGGGGTATCGGGAGGCTTCAGGACGGTTCAGTTCCCAGGAACTACAAGAAGGCTCTGGGATCTGGGAGGGCCCAACAGGGTCTAGGAGGCACCTGGAGTCACCAGTAGGCTCCAACACAAGGGGGAGGCGGAGGATAAAGATCATTGTTCTTGCTATCTTCGATCTTGAACCCAGGCATCCTGTCCGCGGCGCCAGATCTCCCGATTGCTTTCCTGGGGACGTTTGCACATCCCACACATCTGCTATACAGCCCGAGGGCCCGGAAAAAGGCCCCCTCGGGGCGCCGAAATCCAAGAACGCCTGGACTCCACGGACCAATCCGCCCGGAGGCCCAAACTCCCAGACCCCCGACGACGTGATTGATTCTTGATTCACAGCGCGGACTCTCCAAGCTATGGACACCTTTGGGCCCTGATGTGTACCAGGGGACGCCCCCCCCCCCGCCCCATTCCACTAAGCGACCCGAACTGCTGTCACCTGCAGAAACACCAACTCCCGAAGACTTGATGTAGCGATTCCGGCAAATTTGTGGGGCTTCAAGACCCAATCGCTGGCCAGCCCCCCTAGAAAACTTCCGTCCTGATCCTGTTCACGACGCGAGGGAGCCTGGATCCCTCTAAAGAATCTACCCCTGAGCCTGTACGTACCCCTGAGCCTGTCCATGAGGTACGTTCTGGTCAGAATCTGGGCGCGGATCTGGCCGTGGCCACGAGAGCGTCCCGGGGAGCCCAACAGGACCGACCCGAGGAACGGCTGAAAGCCTTAATCCTCAGGCCTCGGCTGGGGGGGCACGTAGATTAGGCGGGGACCTGCTCAGGGGGCAGAGACATCGGAGTCGAAGCGGCGGCACCTCGCCGACAGATCGGCGATGGGCCCCCGATAGCGCATCAGCACGCTCGTGGGCGGGGTGGGCCATCGGGGCCCTGCCAGTGGTGAATGGCCGATTGGCGCTCGATGCTAAGGTAACGAAGAATCAGCGCTGGACCCCCCTCCCTGGCGCGCGGAGTACGCCAGGGGCGGCGCCGGAGGCGCCGCCAGGGGGGTCCAGTGCGGATCCGAGAAATTCGCGCGGACTCCGAGTTTTTATGCTCCCAGCTCTCTCCACCTCAAGCCCTCCTTCTCGGCCCCCCAGGGCCCGTTGAGAGGGCAACCAGAAGGGGCCGAAGCTTGCCCCGAACCTTCCGTCGTGACTTCTCCTCCTCCTCCTGATCCTGATCCTCCTCCTCCTCCTCCTCCTCCTCCTCCTCCTGATCCTGATCCTCCTCCTCCTCCTCCTCCTCCTCCTCCACCACCACCTCCACCACCTCCACCTCCTCCTCCTCCTCCTCCTCCTCCTCCTCCTCCTCCTCTCACTGGTTGCTCCAGCCCCAGCCCAGTGCCTCCACGTGGCGCTTGAGGGGCACGTTCAGCGGTTGGGACATTCAACCGTACGAGCGTTGGCAAGATCTGGGCGAATATCTTCTCGAACTCGTTGTACCTTTTCGTGCAGGTGCTAGGTCGGGTCCACTCTGTTTTCGACTGGTTCTTCGGCCTGCCGCACCTTGTCATGAACTCGTTCATCAAATTTGTTCTATGGTGCATGGGGTGCCGCGGGCTGCGAGCCCACCTAAATTCCCCTTTTACAATATTCGGGGTGCCGCCGGCTTCGAGCTCATCTAAACTCCCCATCGCAGCTGTGGAAATTCACAAATTGGGTAATTATCATATAGTACTGTGAGGCACGTTTGTGTTTGCAGGGGCGAGGCTGGCTGTGGAGGAGATAATCCCTATTCTTTCGAGATGGGTGGGGTTGTCTGACAAGTCCGTGTGGGTAGTCGCGGTGGTTATTCTCGCGTTTTCTTACTCGGGCTGGGCCTCATTGGATTGACGTCATGCAGGCTTAACCCGTTGCTTTCCGAACGGGCCGTGTTGTTTCCAACCACAGTAACTTATGCTACTGCAGCCACTCTTTTTTTGTCGGGGTCCTGTGCGAAAGCTCTGGTGATGGGAACTTATTTTCCTCCTCTACAACTTCCACCTGTTTTTCGTCCTCTGAGTGGCTGCAGTCTCGGCCTTGGATTGTGACATCGTCACGGCGCTCTCTCTCTCTCCCTCTCTGTATCCCTCCTCCTCCTCCTCCTCCTCCCTCCCTCCCTCCCTCCCTCCCTCCCACCCTCCCTCCCTCCCTCCCTCCCTCCCTCCTCCCCTCCCTCCCTCCTCCTCCTCCTCCTCCTCCTCCTCCTCCTCCTCCTCCTCCTCCTCCTCCTCCTCATCTGCCTCCTCCTCCTCTCAAGCTCAGGGGCGTGGAGCGCAGTAATACCATTTGTTGGCTCTCACTGGTTGCTCCAGCCCCAGCCCAGTGCCTCCACGTGGCGCTTGAGGGGCACGTTCAGCGGTTGGGACATTCAACCGTACGAGCGTTGGCAAGATCTGGGCGAATATCTTCTCGAACTCGTTGTACCCTTTCGTGCAGGTGCTAGGTCGGGTCCACTCGGTTTTCGACTGGTTCTTCGGCCTGCCGCACCTTGTCATGAACTCGTTCATCAAGTTTGTTCTATGGTGCATGGGGTGCCGCGGGCTGCGAGCCCACCTAAATTCCCCTTTTACAATATTCGGGGTACTCCTCCTCCCTCCTCCTCGCCCTCCTCGCACTCCTCCTCCTCCTCCTCCTCCTCCTCCTCCTCCCTCCTCCTCCTCCCTCTTCCTCCCTCCTCCCTCCTCCTCCTCCTCCTCCTCCACCTCCTCCTCCTCCTCCTCCCCTCCCCTCCTCCTCCTCCTCCTCCTCATCCTCCCCCTCCTCCTCCCCCTCCTCCTCCCTCCTCCTCCTCCTCCCTCCTCCTCCTCACTTCCTCCTCCCTCCTCCTCCCTCCCCTCCCTCCTCCTCCCTCCTCCTCCCCCCTCCCTCCCTCCTCTCCTCTCCTCCCTCCTCCCTCCTCCCTCCTCCCTCCTCCCTCCTCCCTCCTCCCTCCTCCCTCCCTCCCATCCCTCCCCTCCCTCCCTCCCCTCCCTCCCTCCCTCCCTCCCTCCTTTCCTCCTCCTCCTCCTCCTCCTCCTCCTCCTCATCCTCCCTCCTCCTCCTCCTCCTCCTCCTCGTGCCGCAGAGGTGGGTCTGGGAGCTAGAGGAACAAACAACTCCATAAACGTAAATGTTCGGCGCTGCGCGCGGATTTCTTGGATCTGCGCTGGGCCCCCCTCCGTGGCGCGCGGAGCGCGGCGCCAAAGGCACCGCGAGGAGTCCGAGCGCAGGTCCGAGAGATCCGCGCGGAGCGCCGAATGTCCTTCCCGTCTTCGAGGAACGTTACCCGATCCTCGACTCTCCAAACCCTCGGGCCCCGGCCGAACGTCAAGGACTTCCGACGGCGGCAGGGGGGAGGGACGAGCTCGGGCGGGAGGGTTGGCCGCTAGAGGGGGTGACCGATGGTGTACAATCGAACAGACCAGCGAGGGGGCGGAGCAAGGCTCCGTCCCCCTCTTGAAGAGTTATCCCAGTTATCCTCCTCCTTCGTCTCCATCTCCATTTCCTCCTCCTCCTCCTCCTCCTCCTCCTCCTGCTCCTCCTCCTCCTGCTCCTCCTCCTCCTCGTCCTCCTCGTCCTCCTCCCCCTCCCCCTCTTGAAAGGTTACCCCAGTTAACCATCAGGCCTGGGCGCGGAGCCCCACTCCTGCCCAGCGGCAAGCGGCCGGGTCGCGGCCGGGCAGCCCGCTGGCCGCCCTGGAGGCGCGCCTGGGCACGCCGCCGGGGGGCGCCATCGCGGCGGACGCCGGGCCGGGCCATCGCGCGGCGTCTGCGAGAAGCAGGAGGGAGGGAGGGCCAGATCTCCGACGATATTGCGGTGGCAACTCATGGGAGCCTCCCATACCATCTTGTCGGCTCTTGCGAATCGATGCTAGTCGACGCTATATCGACGCTAACCGACGTTCAAGTAACGCTAATCGACGCTCACAGACGCCAAATCGGCACTATCTCATCGACTCCCAGACGCTTATCGACGCTACTCGGCACTAACGACGGAATTGAACGGGAATACCAGGCTCCCATGATTTGTTGCCGAACGATCTAATCGTTTCCATCAAGGCGCGATTTCGGCCCGTGACTGGGCCCATGGGCAATCGGAAATTGATCCACTACGAAAAGCTACTCCTGGGAGAGGGGTCGGAACCTCTGGGGCCGCGCACTGCATTGAACACAAATACATCGTCGGATGTCTGCGGAGGGCCCAGACCCCGTCGCGTCCTCGGACAAAAAAACGGCTCGGGATGGAAAGCCGCCCCTTGGGGAAGGGGTCGAGGCCTCCTGGGCACACGCCGCATAAAAAAAAACACGACAGGCAGGTGGGTAGAAGGAACGGAGTGGTTCATCGCGGGCGAGAAAAACCCTACGGCTCTGGCGTGGCATTTTTGTTCGCACTGGGCGCTGCCATGTGGTGTTGGGGCCCAGGGCCCTTACCCTTACGACAAGTCGATCCGGATCGAAAACGCAACGAGAAGATAGGGTCGAGGGACCTGGTCGTGACGACGACGACGACGATCAGGGGGAGGAGGAGGAGGAGGAGGAGGAGGAGGAGGAGGAGGAGGAGGAGGAGGAGGAGGAGTAAGTAGGAGGAGGAGGGGGAGCCTCCTGGGCCGTCACCTTTCTTGAGGAGGAGGAGGAGGAGGAGGAGGAGGAGGAGTAAGTAGGAGGAGGAGGGGGAGCCTCCTGGGCCGTCACCTTTCTTGGGAGCATCTTCGGCCGTCTTGGAGCGATCTGAAGGGTCTCTGACGCCGTCGGGGACCAGGGGGAGGCGGAACATGGGAGAGCGCACAAATGCTTCAAACACCATCGGACAATGTATGATTTTCGGCTTCTGGGGCCCTCTGGAGGGGCCTCTGGAGGTGCTCTTGGGGCGTTTTGGCGGCGTCGTCGGCCGTCCTGAGGCCATCTTCGGCGTGTCCGGGGCCTCTGGGGGCTGTTCGGGTCCTCTTGGGTCGATCTTGGGGCTCTCTTGGGACGCTCTCGAGGCCCTCTTTCGGGGATGGGCAGACCCCCCTTTAGTAAAACGTGGTTTAGTGAAAACGACCTGAGGCCCAAACCTGGCGGGCGAAAGCCTGGAAAATAACGGCCACGGCGCCCTCTCGAGAACCGAAAACGGACAATTCACTAATCGACGTGTCACTGTTGGGGGTTCTGTCCTCCCCCGACTCTTGAATTATCTGGGGAGCCTCCTGGACCGTCTCTGAGCTTTTTGGGGAGCCTCTTCGGCCGTCTTGGATCGATCTGAAGGGCCTCTGACGCCGTCCGGGGCCGTGGGGAGGCGGAACATGGGAGAGCGCAAAAGTGCTTCGAAAACCATAGGACAATGTATGATTTTCGGCTTCTGGGGCCCTTTGGAGGGGCCTCTGGAGGCGGTGCATTTTGGCGGCGTCGTCGGCCGTCCTGAGACCATCTTCGGCGTGTCCAGGGCCTGTGGGGGCTGTCTTGGCAATCTATAGGGCCCTCTTGGCCTGTCGTGGCGTATTTGGGAGCGGGCCCGACGGGAGGGGGATAGGGGAGGGGCAGAGGGAACCAAGTAGGGGGAGGGAGACGGATTGGATGGAAGTCAAACGCACGCATGGGGTCGCTCCAAATTTTCAAGCGTGACCAAATTTAGAATCAACCTGAAGGACATGTTCAGCATATCCTCCGCCTTGGGGGCCTTGGCCACGTCCATGACGGCCTCCAGGGCCTCCCACATCTGTGTCAGTTTGGTTTCCAACACATCCAAGACGGCCTCCGAAGCCTCCAACATCGCCCAAAGACGGCTCACGAGGCCGCCCGTAGAGCCCAAAGACGGTCGCACGTGGCACTGGAACGGCCTACGAGGCTTCCTATACAACCCTAGAGGACCCCCAGGAACAGCCCAAAACAGCCCAAGATGGCCCGGGAAAAAAAAAACACGGGGGCCCAAGACAACCCCCCACGACCCAAAATGAGCGTTTGACGACCCAGGAGGGCGCCAAAAGACCGACAACAAAAACCCAAAGAGCGCCCGGAAGGCTCCCAACCAGGACCCAGAAAGAGTCCAACGGCCCTCGATGTCTGCGCCCTGGGCGGCGTCGACGTCGGACCGTCGCTGGCGCACGTCAACAACTCCGCCGTCGAGCCCCCTGGCACGATGAACGTGATAGGACGCCGCGTGCTATCGGAGATGGTTCCTCCTCCTCCCCCACCTCCTCCTCCTCCTCCACCTCCTCCTCCTCCTTCTCGTGCATTTCTTCCTCCTCATCCTCTTCTTCCTTCTCCTTCTCCTCCTCCACCTCCCTCTCATCTTCCTCCTCCTCTTCCTCCTCTTCCTCCTCCTCCTCCAATTGACTCCTGTTGGCTCCTGTTGGCTCCTATGCCGTCAATTACCGTTGGCAGAACGTGCAATAGAGAGGAGACAAACAGCACTGGGAAAATATATCGCCTCCTTGAGCGCCCAGCCAAGACCAGTGGAACCCCACGAACTGCTTCAAACTTGGGTCCACTCCACTGTTGAGCTTCTTTAAAGACTCCTCTGCGTGTCGATTACGCGGAACCTTTTGGCATTTCTGGAATACTGCCAGATCGAGAGCTGCGACGGACCGCAGCGAACGCACCAGGCGACCTTCCCCCCCATCAGCCACATGTTGTGGGAAGAATGACATGTCCGCGCAATCCTAGGCGGCCCACCGCAAGGAGACACACACACACACAGGCACGAGTCTTCCCTCGCTCGCCGCAGTGGCGACACATATGTGATCCTTTGGAGACGATCTCGACGGCATGTCCCTTGGGATCGGCCCGACGGGGCCTGCGCATGTTTGAAACCTCGGGAAGATCTTCTGCAGCCAAGTCGCCCATGATCTCAGCACTGCCCGACAGCCGAATCACGGGCTCCGTGGCTTCAAATTACACCTGAGAAAACCCAATCAGTGGATGATTTGAAAATTAGTCATATGGATCTTGAGATCGATTGTGAGATCGATGATAAGATCGTTAGTGGAATCGATAGTTGACGATTGTAAGGTCGATCGTGAGACCGAGAGTGAAATCGATTCAATGAGATCGATAGGGAGATCGATCGCGAGATCGCTCGTGCGATCTCTAGTGAGATCGCTTGCGAGATCGATTGTGAGATCGAATGTGAGATCGACGGTGAGATCGATAGAGAGGTGGGAAATGAGATCGATGCTGAGACCGATCGATAAGAAGATCGACCAGGAACCCGCGAACCTGGGAACCTCGCCGCCCACCGAAGTCGGCCCGGGAACCGGGAACCCGAGAACCCGGAACTGGGAACCCGGGAACCCGGCCTGCCACCAAAATCGGCGTGAAGCATTCGCCTTCTCTCTCAATATCCGCTGGGACCCCTTCAGTGCAAGCACTGATTGGGGAACATCTCGAGGGCTCGAGGGGTGCGGGGCCTGGCCGGGGCACCCCTGCGGGCCAGCTCGGCGTCCCACTGCCTGGCATTCGGCAACCACCCCCCTGGCCTCAGGACCTGCGAGGCGCCAGCACAAGAGAGCAAAAGCTTCGCCGCATCCACTCGTCTGCACCGCGCGCGGCAACGGCCCGCGCGCTGACCCCGCGACATAGCCCCTCCAAGGAATCCAGGGACATGCCCACGACGGCCCACCCAGCTCTGGTGACCTGAGGTGAGGCGGGGCCCAGCCCAATCCCATCCAGACAAGTCCAAAGCACCGGACACCCTCCAGGAGGAGCGGCATCCCGCCTGTGGCCAGCTTGGGTGTAGAGGGCAGGCCATTGCCACTCGCGGCTCTCAGCAAAAGATAGTGCGACTATCAACCCGTGGGCGGACGTGTCGGCAAGGGCGAGCAACTCGTCGACATCTAGACCACGACGCATGGTGGCATGATCAGCGCAAGATGCGATCAGCTGGCGCGCCGAGTCGCTCGCCACATAGCTGGCAGAGAGGACCCACAACCTGGCGATCATCATACAGCGTGAGCTGCGTAGGATAAACTCCCGCAGCCATCCCCGCGAGCCCAGCAGCAATCGTGAGCCTCTCGCTATTCCGAAGCATCTGGAGTACCTCGACGATGGGCTCCAGCAAGGGACACCCTTGAAGCCCAGGGACCCGCACCCCATCTCCGAGGCCCCGAAGTAACATATCCCGAACAGCCTGGTGCACTACAACCTTCAGGGACCTGCACCCAAGGAACTGGATGTCAACCTCGATCCCCCAAAACCCTCCTCTTCCTCTCCCCTGTCCTACGCGAGGGAGGGGGCAACGCCAAGCGGCGCTGTAGACTCCTGGGCCCCGCACCCCCGCCATCGCGCGGACGTCCATTCCCCGTGCATTTTTCGATGTCGTGAGCGCGTACATGTTTCGCAAGGTGATCCAAGATGCCCGATGGTCCTCGCCAAGCAAACATGCACACGTCCGAGTGAAGCCAAGACCCCCCCGCCCCCCGCGGCTCCTGGGTGCAGCAGGCAGCGGACGCCAGCAGCGCGCCGAGAATCTCGGACGGCGCGCCGAGGCCGTCGGCTGGGCCGCCTCGGCCCCCCCCTCCGCACATCGCGCACGCGTTAGGGCAGGGGTGAGGGGAGAGGGTACGGCCGGACCTGGGACAGGAGAACACCCTTCAAGAGCATGAGACCCTTCGCAAGCAGAAACTGATGGACATTCGAGGGTGCCCTACCCCAGGATGCGCAAGAACATCAAACAGACACGAAGAACGTCAGGGTACCCTCCCCAAACAAACCCCGATCTTGTACCTCGGTCCGACCGTAAGGGGGGGGGACTGGCTCAGGGGGGAGCATCGGCCAGGAATCGGCGACACGTCGCCGATCTGTCGGCGAGGGGGGTCCGATAGCGGATCCGCCCGCTCCTGGGCGGGGTGAGGCTACCAGACCCCTCTCGACGAGCACAGGACGACTGGGGGTCGACGCGTTCTCGGGCGGGATCGCACACAGGGGGGAGGTGAGGTGACGATGAGGCGGCGGCCGACAGCCTGTTGGTCCGTGGCTGCTCTAGCCCCATCGGAGGCCTCTGAAGGAGCAGAGGCCTCATCTCATCGTCGCGCTCAAGGAGGACTAGATCCCAACGCCCGCACGGCGGGGAGCCCCGGGGGGAGGGTGAGCGGGGGGGGGGCAGGCCTTCTGAGACAGCGGGTGGGGCTTCTCAGAAGCCCTCGCGCCTTCTGAGACGCCCCTACGGTTTCGTAGAAGGCTTGGGAAGCTTCTCGGAATGCCCAAGGCCTTCTGAGCCTTCTGGGAAGGTCGCGAAACACGGCATGACAGGACCGTGCAAGGCAAGACCAGGCACGACAAGGAAGCATGAGATGTCGCTGCCGCCAGGAGATGCCGACGTCCTTACAAGGGAGGCAGGCGCTCCTGTGGCGCGTGGGCACTCTAGGAAGGCCGCATGACGTAAGAGGGGGAAAGGGGAAGAACGTGGGTGTGCTCGTTCTTACGGCAATGACCTGGATGGCAATAGCACGGTAGCCATGGCAGCGGTGGCAGCAGCAGCAACAGTTGCGGCGGCTTCAGAAACGGTAAACCCACAGGAGGTACGAGATAAAGTCAGACAGCGATAGTTGCAGTAGCAGTAGTGATGGTATCACAGCCAACAAACTAAGCAGAGATCCTAATCGCGGCTGTAGCCGTGGTAACTTCCATTGCCAGAATCGGTGTTTCCCTTCCGCCAGCTTGAACGTCCCTTCCTCCAACTTCTGCCGAAGATGCACCGCGCAGCAGTCTCGGCCGTCCTCGGCCCAAGAACGCGTGGCAGCCCTCCCGTGCCAACAGAAGACGCGGGCAGTCCAGCCTCTCGACGGGGAAGGCCACTCTTCCGACGGGCCAAGACCACTCCCACGACGATCGGGCGGGTGGTCAGGGGGGTGTGATCCAAATTGCTGGTGAAGAGAAGGGCCCTAAAGGGGCCCATTGGGGCCCTTTGGGGCCCATGCCCTGGCTCCAAAGAGAGTCCTCCAGGGCGCTTTTCTTCACCACTCCTGTCATCTCGCCACCGCGCGGACGTCCATTACCCGTGCCTTTTTCGGTTTCGTGTGTGCTCTTTCCCGCAAGAGCAGGACAGGGCGCTCCAAGACGGCACTGGACTTCTCGGAGGGGGATCGGAGGCTTCAGCGAAACCCACCGCCAAGAAACATCCACATCCAAAGATGGAGGAGCCCCACCACGGGCCATTGGGGAGCGGTGGAAACGGACACGTTTCGACCCACAGGAACTAACATCCAAAACCGTCAGTCCTCGAGGTCTTCGGGTACGAACCCTGGCGGCGAGACAAGCATTTTAAACAAATCAAGCGGGCATCAACGAAGGCCCCTTCTCTCTGAGGTATCTGCCCCCCTCGCGCCGCCCCAGTCTCCGCGCGCCAGGGAATGGGGGGTCCAACACCGACCCCCAAAAAAACGCGCAGACAATCGAGACTATTGTTTCATACCCGCCACCGTGACTGCACGGAAAGAACTTGTTTGAATACGTGTTTGCTTTCTGGTGAGGTCTTACTCGTGCTTGCCAGGGCCGGCCCCGCCTACCTCGTCGTACGCGTGTTCCGAAAATCGCACCCCCGTCTCCGGAGACGATATTGGGCAATGTCTCCAAACGAGCCGAAAAGCCCTCCCCTCCCGAGGAAGGTCAAAACAGCCCACCCGATGGGGGGTCAAAACAAGCAAGCCCCCCCGAGGGGCGCCCAAGAGGCCTCAAGAGGCCCCCAAGCGGCCGCCAAGAGGCCTACAAGAGGCCCCAAGGAGGCCCCCAAGTGGTTTCCGAGAGGCACCCCAAACGCCCCCAGAGGCTTGCAACACCGCCTGGAGGCCCCAAGAGGCCCCAAGAGGCCTCCAAGAGGCCCGCAAGGGGCCCCAAGAGGCCCTCACAAGCCGCCAGGAAGGGGCCCAAAGCGACCCGGAAAGGCATCCAAGGAGATTGCGAGAGGCATCCGAATCCATTTGCCCACGGAGGCTCCCCGAGCTCTCCCAAGGATGCAGCGTTCCCCCGAGTAAGGCAGCGCCCCTTGATATCGTTATTGGAGTGGCTGGTGAGGATACGCGAAGCCTTGAGAACTAATACTCCTTCCTGCTACGCTGTTGCACAGGCGTTGCGGCGGGGTTTGCAGCAGGCACCTGGACAGGTTTCTCTTGACGTGGAATATGAAGATGAATCATTTCACGTACGCCAAAACGGCTGCATCACGGTATACACATCAGATGACAACAACGTGACTACGCTACAACAGGAGGCTCAGGGAGTGGGCGAACTCTTGACACCCCTCCTCGAGCCGCTTGCCGCAGGCGCGCACGGGCAGACGGCGACAATCACGCCGCCCGGAACAGAACGCACAGGCGCCCCGACCGACCAGACGATGGACTCGGGCCCTCTGTCCACGGCAACTGCTATCAATGTACTCCACACTCTCCTCGCTCACTGGGTGGTGGAGCGCAGTCACTCCTGGTCTCACGACGCGGCAATACAGCGAATTAGGAGCCAACGCGGATGATGATCCGCTGGCCACGGTTCCGCAGGGCCTGACAGTTCGGGCTCGGGTGGATCAACGCATGGTTGCCGTCTAAGTGACACAGCTGGACAGCCCCCCCACACGCTCGCGGCATCGGTGCTCTTCCACGAACTCCTCAGGTAGCTCTGACAGCTCGGGTTCCGATGCAATCGGGGCCGCCGTTGGGGTCGTCGGCGGCGGCGGCGCCGGCGGCCCCGCCTCATTCCTCCGTCTGGCCCCCTGACGGCTGGCAGCACAGTGTCACCAACACTCCCATCATCATTCAGAACACGGACCATACAACTCCGACCATCATGCGGGGGGGCGAACCGATACCGGAAGCGCAAGGCAGCGCGCAAACACCGCTTACAAGCACTATGACGGTCGCCAGGTAGGTCGCGCTGCTCGACGCACCCACGGCGGAGGCGACCCCCGCCCCGAACCAGCCTGCCACGCCCAGGCCCAGCATGGCACGGCACTAGTCGAGCGCGATCCGACCTGGGAGCTTCGCGCCAACGTCGGGCAGGTTCTCCGCGCCCATGACCTCCGCGGTTTTGATCTGGCCGCCGCCCACCAACTGCCAGAACCAAAGCTACCTCGCTTCCCAAGCGTCGTAGTCTGCCGAGACCGCGTCGCGAGGCGATCGCGACGGCAGACGACGCGTCGCACTCGATCTCCAGCGACGCGTCGAACCCCATGAACCCGACCACCTTCTTGACGCACAGCATTTCCGCGGCGAACTCCCCGGCAGCCAGGCGCTCGGCCTCGGGGCTCGAACGGGCGAGCACCGACTCGGCGCGCGCGCGCGCTGACAACTACGCCGCACCATCGCCCGACCCCGCGCGCGGTCGATGCGCGGCCATCGTGGAGCGCAGCCAAATCGGAGCCCGCGCCCCCGCGATGGCGCATCCAGTCCTACGATAGCTCAGGCCTCAAGCCCCATGCTGCGCCGACGGGCTTGCAGCCCGGCGCCCCCGCGGCCTCGAGGGCGCCCCCCATGCCCCAGGCTCGCTCTCCTCCACGACGACGTCGCCGGACCGCTGCAGCGACGCGCCGAGGTAGATCACGGGGCTCTCGCCAAGGGCGTGACGACTCGCCAGGCGTTCGGTCAGCTCGTAGACGAACTCGCCGAGCACACCTCGCGTCGGGGCCAAGGCAAGGGGGGCGACAGGGTTGACCGCGACCCTGGCGCCCTTCGCCCTTCTGCCTGCGACGGTAGGTGGCGGGCCCCGCTCCGCAAACCTCGAACCCGAGGTCAGTCGCGATGCGCTCTAGAAGCACCTGAAATCGAAGCACCGCCCCCCTGCGCCCGTATAGAGAGAGACCCCTTCGGCCTCCGCGCGACGCCGCGGCCCTCGCCGCACTCGGGCGGCATCTCCGCGTATATCCCCGCCCCGCCCTTCAAAGGCGCGCGCGACAGCAGCGCTAAAGCCCGTCGCCAAGACGCCGCGCCTCGGCGCGAGCGCCGCTGCCATCTGCGCGCGCGCCGCCTCCGCGCGCGGGGCGCAGGCGAAGAAGTCGCTGCCTGGGCGCCACTGAACTGCTCCGCGACGAACCTGCTGCGAACGCCCTCGCCCGTCGCGCGGCGGCGACACCGCGCGCCCAGCGCCGCGAGGGCACCCCGCAACATCTCCGACGCCCAGGGCCTCCCTCGCCGCCCCCTCGCGGGCGGCGTCGGGGTCGAAGCGCTCGCCGTCGTCGCCGCCGTCGCACGCCCCGCGTAGCAGCTCGAAGTTGGGGTCGGGCTCGCACGGCGTGCAGAGCGCGATGTCGCCGGACAAACCATGTCGCTGGCGACGGACACGTTGCCGAATCTCCACCGCGCCGACGCCCCTCCCCTCGCGCGCCTCCGCCTCGGCAGGCGCGCCCTCGCTGGCCCGTTGGTCAGCAGAGCTCTCAGGTCCCTCTGCCGCCGCCCGCTTCGCCCCAGGCGAGGCGGCGCTCTCGCCCGCGGCCCCCTTGCCGCGCGGCCCACCAGGATGGCGATTCGAGGTGGCGACGGGATGCGCTGGGCCATCCCCGGGGCGAGCTCCTCCGACACCGGTCGGGCGGCGCTCTCGTCGGCGGCCGTCCTCGCGGCCTCTTCGCCACCAGCGGCGGCGCGCTCTCGATGTCCCCCGCGCCCTGCACGCCCGCGTCGCCGCCGCTGGCGGCATCGTCGGCCTCTGGATGCCCCTCCCGCGGTCGCGCAGCACTCGCCTCCGCGCGGGGCCGCCGCGGCTGCCCCTCCTGGGCCGCGGCCGCAGCTGGCCTCGGCAACCTGGCGGGCCGCGCGATGCTAAGGTCGACGGCGGGCCCATCCGCCGCTGGAATCGCCGCGATCGCCGCTGCGGCGTCGCTCGGGATGAATTTTGCTGCCAAGAGCAACTGCTCGACGCAGCGCTCGCTCTCGACGAGCCCCCGCGCGCGCCCGGCCACCGCGGCCCCGCGCCCGGCGCAGACGCGGGCATGGCCCTCCAGCGGGCGGCCGAGGTGGATGCCACAGCCCCACGCGGTCTCGCATTTGTCAACGATGGGCCCAGGCTGCATTCTCGCGACTGCCTCGCCGATCGCAGAACCCCCCTGGCCGCTGCATCACTCGCGCAGGCGCACGAAGGACGTCTCGTAGTCCGACCTGTGGACGAGCGACCGATCGCGCGCCCACGAAGCGCGGCGCGCGATCCGAGCAACCAGGGGGCGCCTCAGGGCGATCACAATCCCGCACTTCTTTCCGATGGCACGCCCCCATGTCCCCGCCATGCCCTTGATACATGAGCGAGGCCTCCCCTGGGCCCTAGCGGTGCCCTTGTCCGTCTTCGGCGTCGCCCCGCAAGTCACGCCCACGTCGGCCACGACCTTCATGGCCACGTTCTTCGCCGCGTTCATGGCGCCGCACTGGGCGGCGACCTCGTCGACCCGAGCTTCTCCGCACACCTCTTGAGACCCGTCGCCCACAGGCCCCCGCCCACCCACCCACCCCTGGCCTCGCGCCAAATCGATGCCACAGCATGATATGCGTTGGCGATCGCGCCGATGACTCGGCGCGCCTTTCTCGCCGCGGCGCGCCCCGCTGAACGTCGGGTCGATCTGGATCACAGGTGCACCTTGCGCCTCCATGATTCCCCCTCGCCAGTCGCCTCGGCCTCGCCCCCCCCCCCCCCCCCCGGCGCTCGCAGTCCGCGCGCCGCGCCGCGAGAGGGCAGCGGGGAGCTTCGTGGGCCTCTCCCTCGGCCCTCGACCTCTCTCGGCGCTATCGCAGCCGTCGCTTCTGGCCCTGCCATCGATTCCACTGACTGGCCCACCTGCGTCGCGAAAACCTGCCCGAGGTTGGCCGTCGCCGCGTCGTCGACGAGCGGCCCGTCCACGCCGGTCTTCGCGCCGACGTTCCTCGTGAGCGTCGCGCGCAGGAAGTGCAGCCCGAACGCGCGCAGCAGCCCTAGCCGTGATCGCCCCCCTCTCAAATCCCGCGTGATCGAGGGGTGGAATGTCGAGGCGTTGGGTGAATGTCCACCAGGCTCCTGCCTCGTGGATACAAGTGATGCCCAAGGTTGGCGACGTGGCATCAGCCACGTGGAACCTCGCGCTCAACCCCTGCTCGCCGCTCGCCCCGAGGCCCACCTGCTCGTCGCCGTAGCGATTGAGAGTCTTGCCGCTCGCAGCCGAGATCTCCGGCCTTCTGTCCTGCGCTCTCGGGCAATCGAGAAAATCGCCGGGGCTGCGCAATGCGCGCCGACTCGCTGGCGCCCGCGCCCACCAAGAGATCGACCGCCTGGCCGACGCGCGCGCCCGTCTGCCCGGCGCCCCCGCCGACGGCGAAGATCCAGGCCTTGCCCTCGCACACTCGGCACGTCGCGGCGACGACCGCGGCGGCGGCGCCGTTCTCCGCCCGCGGCGGACCGCCATTCTCCTCGTCGCTCGCGGTCGCGCCCCGGCCGGCGGGCCGCCGACCCAGCGGCCGCGCTCGTGGCAGTTGCCGCCCCAGCCGTTGACGTCGTGGACCTTCGCCCAGCAGTTCTTCTGCCCGTGCCCCCGCATGCCGCGTCGTCCGCAATAGCCCTGGAACTTCTGGTCGCAGCTGCCGCTCGCCCCCCCCCGTCTGTCGCATGCCCTTGTTATTGTCATTGGCCCCCTTGCCACGTTTGCCATCCGTCTGCCCTTGCTGCCCTTGCCGCTCAATTTCGAGCTCGATGCTCCGATGCCCATGGATGTCGGGCCGTTGCTGGGCATGGATTCCTTCGTCAGGAGGTAGTCGGCTGCGACCATCTTCACCCAGGGCCACTGGATCCCCCCTTGGGGATCGATCGCAGCACGTGGTTTCGCGGCGCCTCGGGAGCCCGACGGATCATGACCGCCGTCCTAGTGTTGTCGCTCATCACCTCGTCGGCCAGCGACCCGCACTCCTCGCACGGAAATCTCGAACATTGCCACTTTGTCGAGCAACCCCGCTTCGCCGCCGAAATCGCACTCCAGAAATATCATCAATCGGGACCGGATGCTGCCCATGTTCTGCGGGTCGCACGGGAAGCTCGGGCGGCGATCGGCCTCGAACCCGTCCTGATTATACATCCTGGTTCTACACCTTTCTGATGATGCCGAGCGGCGCCCCTTCTGTGTACATCGCCACCTGGGAGAAGGGTGACTGGGCCATCGGTCGCCACTCGTCGTCTCAGCTCGCATAGTTCAGCACTTGCTGGCTGTACCCCAAGTGGGTCATGCGGCTCTGATTGCCTATGACGGTCTTGAATTGTCAATTCCAATCGTGGAAGTCCAGCTCCTTCGGGTTATCGAACATCGGCGGCTCGCCATTGTCGCCAATGGTCGCGCTGGCGAACACCTTCGCCAGCTGGCCTGCCACCGCCTCGGCCCGCTCCGCCAGGAGCCCCGCTATCGTCTGGTTCTGCTGGTCGATCGTCTGCATGCGGCGGCCCATCTCTCTGCGCGTCTGCTGCAGCTCCGCCGCGACCGCCTCCACGTTCATCGCGTCTCCGCCTTGACAGACTCAAGGGCGCGCTGCTGAGGCCCGTGGACCTGGCGGGTCGGTGTCACCCGCGCGCCGCTGCCATCTTGAGAGGAAAAATGAAGATGAACCATTTCACACAGGCCGAAGCGGTTACACTACAGCACACGCACACCATCTCTCTCTCTCTCTCTCTCTTTGTTTCTCCCTCTCTCTCTCTGTCGTTGTTTTGTTCTCTCTCTCTCTCTCTCTCTCTCTCTCACGCAACAACAACGTGCTTATGATACAAGTGGAGGCTCAGGGAGTGGGATAACTCTCGACGTTCCTGCTTCCACAACTTCCTTCCCCCCCCACCCCCCCACCCCCCCCCACACACACACACACACACACACACACACACACACACACACACACACACACACACACACACACACACACACACACACACACACAAACACACACACACACACACGACGCGATGATTGATTCGTTACATGGGCCACCACACCCCCTCTGGGGAAGGATTATCCGTCTCGGGTCGTTTTCTGATGGTCCCAGGCCCGAGAAACGGGCCTTCAGAGGCTCAAAATAAGGGAAACCAGCCGTCGCGATTTTGTTCGCGACTCCCCCAGACGGAGCGACCCAAAGTACACACGGGAGCCAGGGGGCGATCGGAAAGATGAACTGAACGACTGCACGCCATCCTACGAACGCACACGCGGGAGCAATGAAGATCACCTGGACTGCCAAATTGTTGTGGGAATTCGTCTCTGGGTCGTTCTGGATGCCGTCTTTAGGCTGGTTGCTAAAAGTCTTCTGCACCACATTGGTGCCACCACTGCTTGATGAATGAAGCCGCTTCGATTCACGGCTTGTCCCGGAGCCTATAAATCGGCCAGGAAACACGTCTCGCGACGAAGGGCGCCACAAGCACGCTTCAACGTACGCTTCAGCCGGCAAGGAACGCACACTACCATTACCCCCCACAAAATGCCGTCCGATACGAATTTCGCGATCGTTGCCCTCAAGAGAGACGATGCAACAACCGGTCCGGAACCAACCAAAGCAATACTTGCATTCAAATTGACGCCCGTTCCCCTAGGAGTCTCTGCTGGCAGGGCTAAAGTTCCTCCTAATCATCACCACGACCGTCATCGTCGTCGTCTTCATCATTAACATCACCACCACCACCAGCGCCACCGCCATCATCATCACCATCATCAGCAACAGTATCAGCATCATCAACATCATCATCACCATCATCACACTTATCATCAGCATGATCAGCATCATCATCATCAACATCATCATCACCATCATCATCATCATCATCATCAACATCATCATCCTCATCCTCATCATCATCATCATCATCATCATCATCACATCATCATCCTCACCAGCACCACCATACTCATTGGCATGGTCATAATCATCAGCAGCATCATCATCCGCATCATCATCATCATCATCATCATCATCATCATCATCATCATCATCATCATCAGCATCATCATCAGCAGCAACATTATCATCATCAGCATCAACACCGTTGTCATCATCATAATCAGCATCAGCATCATCAACATCATAACAAGCATCGTCCTCATACTCATCATAATCAGAATCAACAACATCATCCACGTCAACATCCACATCAACATCAACGTCAACACCACCTTGATCCGTTATCGACCCACCCACCCGACCTCTCCCTCCCCCCTGCTGAGCCTGCGGTCAGTTTGTTGGCCGTCTGCCCGACCTTGAAGAGCATGGACTCCTCCGGAGCAGGACGCACGGCCTGCGCCCCCCCAGCTCGGGTGTTGCCAGAAGGCGTCCCTGGCCCAAGGTGCTCCCAGGATGTTCAAGGACGCCCCCGCTGCCTTCATGGCACCCCTCACGAGGCCCAGACCAAGACGCCCGACGATGTGCGTGCTCCAACCCGCTGCCTCATGGGCTCCCGAGCGATTCCCTTCGGGGAAGCTGTCATCCCAGTTGCATTACAATCCCGGAGAAGAAGGGGCCCATGGAGGCCGAAGCCAGAGGCGAAAATGCCGGTATTGTAAAACACAGTCGCCCAGAGGACCGCGGAGAGGGCCAGGGGCTCCAACAGGGAGTGAAAAGCTGAGACACCTTGGGCCAGGCACACAACACGCCGCGGCTCTCGGGCGCCACCTCCACAGGGACGCGTTCGTCGCGCCCACGGGGCCGAGCGTCTCCGAAAAATCCAGACGGAGGAATGTCGCCATTCTCCATCACAATCGCCCCACGGTCCCTGACCACCCATACCACCCGCAGAACCCAATGACCACCCGAATAACCCGAATCATCCGGACCACTCAGACCAACCAAACCAACCGGACCAACCGGCCCTCCCAAACCACCTGGATCCCCCAGACCAACCCGAACAACCAGACCGCCTGGGCCACCAGGACCACGCGAACAGCATCGCCTCGTGGGGCTTTCTGGGACCATTCTGGAGCGATCTGGAGGCTTCACGAGCCCATCATAAGCGAAAGGGTGACAAGGCATATCCGCCGACCCCTTGGGGTCACGGCGTGCGAGATGCTTCCCCCTCCCCAACCCCTCCCGTCCGGCCGGTTTGGAGGAGGGGGGGGGGGAGGGCAAAGGTGTCGGCTGCACCCTTGGAGCCTCAGGGGGCCCCAGAACAAGCCAAGAGGGCCCCAAAAGGCCCCCCAGACGGTCCAAGAGGGCTACGAGTCGCCGAAAGAGCGCTCCGAAATGCCCAAGATTGCCTCCAGACGGTCCCAGAGGCCCCCAAGACGCCCCAAGAAGCCACCAAGAGGCGTCCCAAGAGACCCTCCAGATGCAAAAATCGTCCCATTCCCCAGGGAGAACGTATAATCTTAGCACATTCGCCTCTTGGGCTTTCACGAGGCCCACAGCGGCCCAAGAAGCCTTTAAGATCGACCCAAGATAGCCCAAGAGGCCCCCAAGAGGGCTCCAAGACGGCCCAAGAGGGCCCCAAGACGGCCCCAGAAGCTTCCAACACGACCCAGGAGGGCCCCAGGACGGCCCCAAGAGGAGGCCCAGAGGGGGAACCCGAGTAAACATTTCGAGCACTCGGCCCCGAAAAAACAAGAGACGGAGGACGAGGGATTAATATGCAGAAGAGGGATGGGGAGAGAGGAACAAGGAGGTTGGGGGTAGGGGGCGGACTTAGGATGACGAGGAAAAGAAGCAGGATAGAGGGGGAAAGAGGGATTGAGGGAGGCATGGAGAAGGGGAGGAGGGGTGGGTGGCCGTCCTACTCAGTGGGGCTCTTCGGTGAGCTTCCAGTCGTGGTCGTGGTCGTGCTCGTCGTCGTCTTCATGATCGTCGTCCTCCTCCTCGTCAGCGGCGCCCCCGTTCTCATCGTCGGCGCCATTGTCGTCATCGCCACCCTTGTCGTCATCGTTTTCGTCGTCGGTATCCTTGCCCTCGTCGTCGTCGTCGTCGCCGCCGTCACCTTCGTCGTCCCCGTCTGGAAAGATTTCGAACTAATTCTCTCCCCCCTCGACACGATCCACCTGCCCGCGTGGGTCCACCCGGCCGACCGCCCGTCGTGGCCCAGCTCAAGCCGAGACTGATCACAACCATCCGAACCACCTAAAGAAGCAGGACCGACCCGGACTACCTCTGCGGACCACCCAAACCACACGGACCACCCAGACCGACCGGACCTCTCGGACCAACCACCCACGCCACCCAGACCACCCAGACCACCCAGAC